GCAGATAAAATAAACAGACAAAATTATTTACCAACACTGGCTGCATTTCCATCACAAATGTGCACAAATCTTGGACTATATTATGCTGATGTTTAATTTTTTGCTATTACGGTCTTTCTGTTGAATGAAAAATTAAATTAAAATCACATGTGAATAAGCTTGTTCATGCGATAAGTCATTAAAAATCATGGCAGCCACAGATGAACAGTTACATGAGGTATATTCTGCATCTTATTCAAGCATTGAAGCAACAAGCTCCTTATACTTGGAAGCGGCTGCGTATGCAGCGTTGTTGTGAAAATGTAGTCCACGACTTTACAGAAGAACTATAGATTCAACATGTTGCAATAACACACAACTTTTTATGAACTGTGCAATTCTGAGAGCTCTGGTGCAGCCAGCTGCACGTTGTCAAAAAAACCCAAAAACAAACAATCATCCTCCAACCACTTCCTGTTGTCTTCTTCGTAGTTTTTGCCAGTAGTAACATCTGGCTGTTGATCACATGACTTGATGCAAAAACGGCGTTTTCATTGCAGTTTTGCGAAATATATTTATTTGGATACGGCCAAAAAAAACCACCTCATCCTAGCGCAGAAGCTTTTTATTGAAAAGTTTGCATTAAGCAGTGTTTTATTCCAATTATTGAAATGATTTTATGGTGAATGGAAACCCAGCTACTGCCACCTTCAGATGAATTCCCTTAATAAAGTCAACTGTTCTGCATGGCTACAAACAAGCCTGAGAACGCAGCATTTTGCAAGAGTATTCATGCCTCTTGAGCCTATTCAGTTTGCTACAAGCACAAACCGTAGTGTGTTTTATTGGCACTTTTAATTTATGGATTTTTAGTTTCATTCATGTGTGCAGTTAAACATGCTCTCATCTAATCTACTGCTTTGCAGCTCTGGCTCCTTTACTAGATTACATTTCCAGCTTGAAGGTGAACCTGTGCCTCAGTCTCTTCCAAGTTTTCCTTCAGTATTGCCATGATTTAACAGTGCATACAGAAAGTAATCAAAGCACTTCACTTTTTCCACATTTTGCTACGTTACAGAATTATTCCAAATTGTATTAAATTGATCTCTTTCCTCAAAATCCTACACACTAATACTTCATCATAACAAAGTGGAGTAACGTTTGATATTCTTGTAAATTTGCTAAAAATTGAAAACCAAAAAATTACATTCATGCAAATACTCACAGTCTTTACCTGAAGTTTCTATCTTTTTTGCATATCTGCACCACCCCCAACTTTCCCGCTTTGCTGCAGTTTTCTAACACCGAGTTTTAGAGATTCGTTTTCCCACATCCTTGTTCAGACTGGTTTCTCAGCGCTCCAGTTGCTTTAGCTGACTTTAGTTTACTTGTAGTCATTTCCTCCCTTTTGAAGCTCAATCTGCCTACATATCCACCTTTAATAAATGACACGTTCTCGTTTTGAAAAGTGTAGGATGTTGTACTGATAAAAAAAAGTGAAGTATAAATTAATAAATGCTCTAGCTGCATTAATTTTAAAGCATAGTTTGGGGTTGGTTTGTTTTCCTCTAAATTTCTCATCAAATTAAAGACTTTACTTTTTTTTTAAATTTCTACAACTTAATTTATTTTGAGTGCCCTTACACATTTATATTTTTCATTTTAAATCCATCAAAGATCTTAAAATGTAATTGCAAGAATGTTTTAAGGTGTTAATAATGTAGAGTTTGGAGGCATTTTGTTTAATAAGTTGTATGCATTTTACAACTTTGCAACTTCAGGGCCAGACAGCAAACTGTTGCATCCAATTTTTGACAGAAAGTAACAGTTTGAGCCCTTCTCAGCCAATCAGAAGCAATCATTTTTCAGTTACAGCTTTATAGTTATTGGCTTTCTCAGATTAAAGGCCGCATGATGCACAAATCAATGACAATGGACAGCAAAGCACTGCCTGTGGCACAAATCAATGCAGCAAACTGAGCTGTTACCAAAAAGCCTGAGGCCTCTTATACCTGGATTTGACAGATGCACCAAATAAAACGTAAAGTTGGTGTAAACGTAAAGGAGTGTAAACCCGTCACACCCAAACAGCTTCAACACACGATTAACACGGGAGTCAAATCAATATGCTTTTACCCAATTACTCCATGACTAATGCTCAAACATGAATGGGGGGAAATAATAAAGTCATGATGGGATTGACACCTGACCTCTGAATTGATATTGGCCTGTTTCATTGTTTTTTCATGAGCTCAGGACGCCAATTCTACGCCGTCTTTGATCAAATGGAAATTAGGGCTGACAGTTTGGGAAGACCCAGCTCTAATTTAGCATTGTTCTCTACAATGAGGCGCTTTGACGGTTTAATTGATTCTTTTCTTTGACGCCTTTTAGATTAGAAAAGACTTCCTTGCCTGTTTAGTACAATGAGACTGAAGATATTACTTAAAATTATGCATACCACCATGAAAAGGGTATTGTGGAGGTAAATTTAACTTGTGGTTCTGGCATTTAAGGCTCTCAGCCAGGCAAGTTGTGGTTTAGAGGGGACATCTGGCAAAAGTTAGAAGCTGAAAGCATTTGAAACCTTGAAGTATTTTAGTAAAACTGCAAAATGTGACTTAATAACATGCAACAACTGCAGCATGATAGTTTTTGAGTGAGCAGGAAAATACTGGAATTTTTTATGAAATTTCACTGAAATCACTTTATGCTTGTGTTGTGTTTTAATCAGCAGGAGCGCTCTCTGACTCATCCCAATTCATGGGAAATTGTAACAATTTTAATGTTCCAAAGGCATGAATGAATCAATCAAACGAGCTTGTTTAGCACAGTTCAAAATGCTTTACATCGTAAAAACATAACATAAACACATCATACAGCTAAAAGTTGTGACATCCTGTGACAGTTGACATTACATTTTGTCAAGTGCCATAATTAAAATCATCAAATAATGTTGATTAACATTGGTTCAGCTGTAAACAGGTGGGGGTTTTAGCATTGATTTAAATGGATTTTCCTGATAACCACGTGGATGAGTTTCTCTAGATCCTGCTGGAACATTAGTCCTGGAAATGTTCTTCAGATGATGGAAGGCAGACTTTGTATCTGAATTTATGTGACTCTGAAGGTTCAGGTCTGAGTCCATCACTACACCCAGATTTCAGCTGTGATTGCTGGTTTCTAGCTGCAATAACTGAAGCAGTGCTAACTCTAGATCGAAGACAAATGCTTATTTCTTGCTGCTAACAAGCTTGTTCTCTGTTTTCAATTAAATAAGACATAATCCAGTTTAAAGACCGCTGTCATGAAGCTGTAAACAGCTATGAAGTATTGTTGGCACTGCCAAAGGATATAATTACGCTGTGCCTTTATTTGTTATCCTTACTAATGGTTTACTGCTCTGACTGTTGCCAGTTTCTACCAGGAGTTAAGGCAGGTGTGACAGTTGCTATTGATTCATCTGCAGAGCCGGGTAAATAGCCAATAGGCGTTGAAGGAGCTTAGAAATGCCCTCCAGACAGACTGCTGGGAAGCAGGTGGGCGTCAGCTGCCCTCATACATCACCGTTCTAACAATCTCTTCTGCAGACGAAGGGGTAGACCGAGGCCTCAAGGCAAATCTGCAAAAAATGTCAATAGAAATAAGACAGAAAAAGATTCTTGAAGAACAGATCAAACTTTGAGGGAAACAAAAAGAAGACAAGAAGGTGATGTAAGACGGGGGAAAAGCCGCCTGTAAGTAAAACAAAGGAGTCAGCTGCTGGAGTCAGGCTCAAACAGCTGGTGCCAAAAACAGAGTCGAGGACAAAGTGGGTTCTGTTTGGACTGGAGTGATGCCAAAAGCTGGACCGGGTTAGCAGGCAGGGAACACCGCCAATACAGAGAGAGACAGAGACAGAGCGAGAGCGAGGCCTACGGGAAGATCGTTATATAACCGAGAGGGGGAAACCTCACAGGCACAACAGAGATGCTCTTGACTCCCTAATGATACGGCTTGATTTAAACTCATGTCAGAGGCGAAGGCTGGGAAACGGTAAAGAGAAAGAAAGGCGTCTATAAAAAGACGAGAAGGAAGGAAAACAGGAGAGCGGAGAATGCAGCCTATTGTTTGACCAGTAACCACTGTTGTACAAACCTCTGCTGCCTGCACTGCTTCACTCTTCTGTTTCAGAGGAATATATGACAGGGTGAATTGAGTGGACTGAGCTAGAAGGGAAAAACAGATTTGAGTTGACCTTTTTTCTACAAGAACAGCAGGTTCCAAGTTAAAATAACCTTTTTTTTTCCCCGCAGTTGGCATTCAGAGGTCTTCAAATTATAAGAAATATATGATGTGGTTGTAGTCAAGACCAGGACCAGAGTACACCAGACCAATGGCTCTTTTCTACCAGCGTTTACTCAGACTGCGTTTACACAAGACCGCTGTCTGGAAACTGCTGGTATTTTTGGAAGGTGATTGGGAAAACTTCCAAGACACCTTGAGTCAGCTGTAGATGTCACGCCAGGCCACTAGATGGCAGTTGTAATTTTAGCCTGACAACGAACGCGCATGCGCTTTTGACCCTTAGCTTCCACCACTAGTTTCCAACTCGTCACTGTAAACCAGGGGTCCCCAAACTTTTTCCTGCGAGGGCCACATAGCTGTTCCTTTCTGTGGTCTTAGTTTTTGCAGTAAAAAAAAACAAAGAAATTCTTGTCGACGGGGGAGGGGGGTGGGGAGACAACGACACTTTTGGATAGATTTTTACCCAGAATGCAAATGGAAAAAACCGTGAGTGAAACGGTGACTGACGAGTATATATTCCATTGAGGGAAAGTTTCACATTTGCTCAAAAGCCCCCTGGTGGTTGAAAAAAAATCCACATATAAACCGGAAAATACAATATATGAAAAAAAACACTGAATGCTCTCTGGTATGAGCAGGCGGGCCGGATCCGGCATTGTTCAGGGGGCCGGACCAAATGACGTGGCGGGCCGGATCCGGCCCGCGGGCCGTAGGTTGGGGACCCCTGCTGTAAACAGTAACCCGTCTCCGTCTCCCATAAGTGAAGTTCTCATGTATTCCTTATCATAAATTATGCTAAACCGAACATTTTAAGTAGCACAATGTTGGATCGCAACAAAATTGTTACTGTTTAACTGTAGAGCAGATCCCTGAAGCCGGCGAAGGGGGTGGAGTCACTGGTTGGGTCACAAAAACAACTCACATTCTCCCGCAGACTTTCATGGCAAGTAAGTTTGGTAAGTCGGACAAAAAGAAACGAACTGAGCCGAATGTTCAACATGGCCTCCATTATTCTGTCCAACGTTATATTAGGGTCATTGTTGATAGAAAAAAAAGCGGTAAATTTCCGCCGAAAACAACCTTTGAGATCAATCTCGGAAACTTTCCAGAATAAAAACTTTAAAAATGTCTGTGGTCCAAAACTTGAAAATTAGCTAGAAGTAAGGGTAGACCAAATCCCAAACCAAAGAGGAAAGAGACCAACACTAATGAGAAACTATTCTCACAACCATCATTGCTCTAATCATAATAATGTAGTCATTATGCAAAGCTCAACGTTGCAAGCAACTCGTTAGCAAGTTCTGGTAGCTATAACATGATTCCAGATGCTGGTTGCTTTGTTCTGAATAAGTTTTGCACTTTTGAACTCAAGGTTGTATGTTAGCAGACCTTCAACTACATGCAACTTCTCCATTAAACCCAAAAAGCTGGTAAAAAGTTAAACGGACCAGACAACTCTGAAGAGCGCATACATCCATGTTAATGTTAACTGACTTAGCAGTAGCTGCAGGCAGTTCGTGTAGGCAGTATGTGGAGGATTTAACTTCCTTCTGAATCTTGAAAATGAAGGCAAGAAACATCTGTTCTTGAACTTTTTTAGGAAAGACGAGAAACAATGCGACTAACATGTTTCAAATCCATTTCTGAGGTTTTAGGCTTCCGGTGAACCACAGTGACAGTCATTATCCACAAATAGAGAAAACATGGGACAGTGGTGAAACTTCCCTGGAGTGGACGAACTACTAAAATCACTCCAAGAGCTTATTGGCAACTTAGTCAAGAGATCACACCAGACTTCACCTGTGTCAGTAAAGGTAAGTAATTCAGCAATAAGACTAGGCAAAAATGACATCTCTGAGAGACTCCTAATCTAAGCCACTGCTGACAAAAAACAAAAAAAAACATCTTCATGATCCACTTTGGGGAAAATGTTTGTGGTATTCGAAAGAGAGTAACTTTTGGGAAATGCAATGTTTGGAAAAGGCAAACACAGCGTGTGTAGTGTGACTTGCAGTTATGCAGCAGAAGAAAGCTCCAAAATGCACCAACAAGTTCGCCTCTTAATCGCAAAAAAATATTTTGAATAAGGTCTTGGAGTGGCCTAATCAAAGTCCAGATTTTAATACAACTGAGATGTTATGTGACCTTAAAAAGGCTGATTTAAAAAAAAATGCAACAAGTGGGCCAAATTCCTTCATAGATTTAAAAAACTGATTTCTAAAATGCTTGACTAGTTGCTGCAGTCAAACATTTGAAAACAGTGTCTTGTGTTTAATCTAGTTATCAATAAACCAATAAATCATCTTTGGTTTTTAAATTTTTTTTTTACCCATTCTTTGCAAAGGATCTGAAGCTCACTCAGGTTGGATAGAGAGTGTCTGAACATCAATTTTCACATCTTGATGTAGATTCCCAGTTGAATTTATATTTGGACTTTGACTAGGCCATTCTACCGCACATGCTTTGCTTTAATCTGCGTCGTTGTAGCTCTTGTTGTTTGTTAGGGTCGTTCTCTTGCTGGAAGTGTGACCTCATCATAAAACCTGTTGTTAAATTTGATTTATTCAGATTTTAGATGTTTTCTGAAAATATTCTGAATCATTTGTAGTTCTCCATTTCTTGTTTTAATATATATTTCCTCCCTGTAATGGTTCATTTGCATCCTTTAAAAAGAGTATTTGTGTGTTTTTTGTGGATATTACATATTTTGTGTGTCTTCAAATTTCTTTTTGATTCAGTTTGGACGTCTGGTGCACATCAGTGTGATTCTGTGTAAGACGTCTTGTTTGTCCTTATGATTATAACCCATGTTATGTCATGTATCCCAGGGGGAGGATTTAAAGTTCCTTGGGCACCAGAATCCGTTGCTGTACTTCCTGATCCATTCCTGGATGTTTTCTGTGTCTAATCAGAAATTGGCAGCTTTCTTGGAAGCGCAGCAAGTTTCCAGCTACCGCACATTTGAATGAACAAGTAATCTGTTCACCAAGGCTCTTTGAGGCATGCTTTTTTTTTCACCTTTTTCAATTTGCTCGGGTGTTTGGAGCAGTTCTTTTGTGTCCATCACAAGCTTCTTCTGTGGACAGCTGCATGAGCAGCTGCTGGTTTGCAGAAAGACTGCAGTCTCCCAACAGTCTGTTGATTCATGAATGCCCACTGATGGGATGGCAGAGGGGCGCTCACGGGGACATGCCTCGACTTGTTCCTAATTGTTCACTCAGGGGCTCAAATCCCGCTTTAATCCCAGTGTATTTTTCACGTGTGCATGTCGGTAATTATCTGACGCAAGGTCATATCGTCGTGTTGGCACCAAGGTAATGTGACGTCAAGTGCATGTTGAAGTTTCTGATGTCAATGACAACAACAAAAAAATTTCTTTTCTCTCAGGCGCATAGAAGAGATCTGACTGCTAATGCATAGCTCTGATATCTGCCTACGATGGATGTTTTTCACCTTTTTATCTGCTGGAGGGCTCAACAAGGTGTAAACATGATGAGGTCTGCAAAGGGAGACGCTTGTTAGTGGGGAGAAGTATTCCTGAGTCAGAACGGAGTGGGAATACTGCAGCCAGACAAACTCAATCAGTGTCTGGAAACAGATGACTTTGCAACAAGCAGACTTGACATATTGTTTTCCTGGGTGGCTGTTAATTACATTGGCATTTCCTTCAGAGAAGGGAATATCTTATTTTTTTTTTTATTTTAAAAATGTCCTGAACTGATTTTGTTCGGCCTCTGACCACAAGTCAAGAGTAGTAAACATTTGGCCACCAAAATAGAAAACAAAATGTGAAAATTGTTTTTCTTTTAGTAAGGCAACACGCCAAACCCTCTTTATGTGTTGGATCTGTAAAGGTGTACACATTTTAGAAAAAGTCTTATTGTTGAGCAGGCAAAAATCCTTTTCTTTTTTTCCATTTGTGACCTGCCAGTAGTTTAAATTTTAAGTTTGGACACTGCTGATTTAGAAGAATGTAGTTATTATTTAAAAATAAAACTATAGTGGCTTCAACAATTACTGGGACCTCTAAGAGGTTTAAAACCAGAGAGAGTGATCTTTTTCTAGATTGTCCAGAGTACTGAATGCTCTCTTCTCTTCAGCTCACCGCACACATTCCCAATTGGATTTAACTTAATTTCTGTTACTGTTTCGGATCACTATGCTGCTGAAAGACCCAATCACGACCCATTTTCAAATTCAATTTAGAAACATTTTGCTGTTTTAAAGAGCTTATGATGAGATCAACTCTGGAAATGTTCCCAGTGCCTCTGGAGGAGAAACAGTTCCCACATCAGTGATTGTTATCGTATATTTTGCAGTTGCCTTAAAGTTTATTTCTGAATATATGTATATATTTCTTGTTTTATTCAGGTTGGATTTTGACTTTTATATGTATGGAGGATATTAATTAACTTGAGAGAAGATCTATACTGTCTCTGACAACATTGAATCATGTTGTCTCAATCATTTTATGTGGAGAGATGAAAATATTTAAACGTTAAGCATGACAATGTAAATTTATGTTCCCCAAATTTTCAAAAGTATTGGATTAGTTGGGCCTAATGATTCTGTAGAAATATAAGCTATTTTTAAGTATCTGAATAATTTTATTTGAATCAAAGGTTGGATTTAATTGCTTTTTTCTTCAGGAGATTATTAAATAAACTGCATTTGATTATTTTAATTAATATCTTTACCAATCAGTATGCATGCTGTTACATGCACCAATCAGCCCTGTTCTTCATCAGTCACAACAGTTCTACTAAAACTATGGTTCTGTTGCTTAAATGTGTATTTTTTTTAACTGTAATGAATTTAAATAACACCCTAGTGGTGAAAAACTTTAAAAGTTAAATCACCTGAATGGGAAATTAGTTCAAGCAACTGAATTCAAATGAAGGCAGGAGGAAGCATTAGTGTTTGGGGTAACTTTGAATATTTATTATGAATAGTAAGGTACCAAAACCCACAGGATGCCTAAAAAAGCTTCAGATAAGTAAATATAAACCGTTTGTTTCAAAAGTTGAAATTTGTCAGTTTGGAATAAAACCTCTTTTCTACTTTGTCAGTATTTTATAATTTTGTTTCAAAGACTGAATGGACATGATCCAAACTCGCATAATAATATTTAAATGTATTCAGTCTGCTTGTAAAATTAACAAAATTCTTATTTTACAAAAAAAATAATATAGTAGGAATATGATAGTTAAGGTAATGATGTCTTGATTTAACACAAGAATCATCTGCAAGTCTTGCTGTACCTTTAGAAACATATTCTTTAATTTTGTTAGGTTAGAGGTAGTCTGAGCTGGACTTTAACTAGACCATTCTGACACCCTCTGACCTAAAGAAGTCCATGTTTGCTCGGTCTCTGTGTGAACTTCTGTCCCAGTCTCAAGCCCTTTGCTGGTTTTCCTCTACATTTTCCCAGTATTTAATGCACTGTTTCACTATTTAGTTTCTAATTCTTTTAATTGCGTGATTTGACATTTTGAAAAATGGAATGGAAGCATGCCAATTTTTGTTTTTGTGCTAGGATGAGGTGGTGTTTTGGCCATATCAAAATCGGTTTATTGGTTTAAAATTTTACACAAGTCACGTATTTTGCCACTGGCACAAACCATGAAGAAGAAAGCAACAGGAAGTAGCTGGAGCATGGTGCATCATGTTTTTTTAATTGATCGCGTGAACAAACATATCCACATATGATTTTAATTGCATTTAATATTCAATGGAAACAACACAAGTGCAAAATTGTCTATCAATAACATTCAGCTTTGTTTTCATCTGACGAGATCAACTTATTAATGTGGATTTTGATGAACTTGTATTTCTTCCTTGTGATGCAAACAGCTTGTAATGTGACAAAATCTGGAACATTTTAGGGACATAAAAGCTTTTGCAAGACACCCTGTCTGAATTTGATTGGGCAGTTGACATATAAAATTAATTAAAACACAATGTAGCAAGAAGGTTCAGGGTTCAGGAACCTGGAGGTTTTTCTGCATGGAGTTTCTCTTAGTTAATGAGTTGATTCTCTCCAGGTACTCCAGCTTCCTTCCACAGTCCAAATCATGGCTGCTGCATTCATTGGTTAAAAAATGGTTTCTTACTGTTAAACTACTGTTTTAATGTCCAAGCTAGTTATTAAATAGAGCTTTGGAGAACACCAAGAAAAAAATTAAAAATCCCTTTTTTTTTTTTTTTTTGTTTATTTTCTCCACTCGACCATCAGCAGACAAGTTCAAATCTTGCTTTTTTAATTTATTTCACTCGTGATTTTGTGGCTTTTCTTTAAATACCCCCACCTTTCATTTATGTCTTACCATACATAATTGCCCTCATTTGTTTTCTGTTTGAGGTTTTTTTGTATCGCCTTTGTCAGATTATATTTTTTTTTTACATGTTTGTAAATTTAAAAAAAAACTTTTCTGTAAATAAAGTGGATCAAGCAGGAAAACGTTTCTGCTCTCTGTCAGCGGACTCGGCTCGATCGCGCCACAATCCGCTCTTTGTCTTCTCTCGCTCTAATGGCTTCTTTATGATTTCTTCCTCTGTTCAAAGGGCATGCAGTACTTGACTGGCAGTAAATCTGTTTGGAGACTAATCCTCCGCTACCTACCAGCTGCTCTCCTGGCACTCGCCGGGGGGAGGAGGGGGGGGAGACCAGCATTCTTGTTGCCATGGAGACGGTCAGCCATGCCAGTTACCCATAAGGCCTGGCGTCGTGCCCGCCAGCTTGTGTAAGCCCGTGTGCCTGAATAATGTGAGACTGTTTTATTAGCACTAAATCAGCCAATTAAATAAAAGGCTCTTGATTAACTGCCATCACCAGCTGTTTGTTGGTTTTAGCCAGAGAAGTGGTTCTTCTATTGCAGAATTTATCTCTGTAAATAATATTTGGGAGAGTTTAATTTTAGCTGCCATGTGAGTGCAAAATTGTAAAAAGAAATGGGGTGAACTAAATTAAGCCCAAATTTGAAAAAGTATTCTTGAAACTGGAATTGTGTGCCTTTAAATTTAACCTAAGCTACTATCTATGAAATTAATTTCTTTATACTTTACTTCTGAGGTGCCACACTTTATTGCCTTTATAAACAATCATTCAGTAAGATGTTAGGTGTCACATCATTGCACATGACTTCAAATGCAGCAAAACACTGATCCATACTTTTAGTAAGTCGAAATGGTGGGATTTTAAATTAGTTTTAATGTGATGTTTTAAGTAAGGCTGCGTTCACACTGCAGCCTGAAGTAAACCAATTACTTTTTTTGTTTGTTTTTTTAGTAATGCGGCTTGTATCTGATCTTTTCATGTCAGTCTTAACAACACAGGTCGGATTCTTTTCGAATGCGACCAATACGTATCCGATTCAATGCGACCTAACGTCCAGGTCACACTCATCTGACCTGAACATACTCGACACATGTCACTATTCTGCGTCCTGATACGTGCAAGAGAGAAGAAAAACTACAAACATGACAAACTATAATGAGGATTAAGTTACACTCCAAAACCACAAAATCTTACCAAGTATATTTTATCTAATTTCTAGCACAAATATTTTAGTGCACTTAAAATAAGACAAACTAAATTAAACTAACTTTTCAGAAAGATATGAGCTTGTTTCAGGTAAATAATTAATGTTTACTTGAAACATTAATCCACATCCACATCCTTAATGTGGATGAAAAAGTTCAAGTTCCATTGGCAGATTATTTAGCTTATAACAAGACATTTTTCCAAAGAGTTTGTGTTTTTGCAGTGTCGGTCTAGACTTTGACTGGACCATTCTTAATATGAATATTCCTTCATCTATCCATCCATTTTATTTACACCCTTGTCCCTTAGCGAGGTCAAGGGATGCTGGTGCCTATCTCCAGCTAATGTTCCAGGCAAGAGGCAGGGTACATCCTGGACAGGTTTGCCAGTCTGTTGCAGGGCAACACAGACACACACAGGACATGCATACACACTCACACCTAGGGACAATTTGGAGAGGCCAATTAACCTGATAGTCATGTTTTTGGACTGTGGAAAGAAGCCAGAGTACCTGGAGAAAACCCACATGCACAGGGAGAACATGCAAACTCCCTGCAGAAAGACCAGGGCTGGGAATCAAACCCAGAACCTTCTTGCTGCAAGGCAACAGCTCTACCAACTGTGCCACTGTGCAGCCCTATTCCTTCATCTAAATCACTCTATTGTTTCTCTGGCTGGTTGTTTTGTGTTGTGGTCCTACTAGGAAGTGAACCTCTGCCCTAGTATCGAATCTTTTAAAAAGTTTAAACATTATTTTTCTTAAGAAAAGCATCTCTAAAGCATGACACTGCCATCATCTTGGTAGGCTTGCAGTAATAACATTCATTTAATGAAAAGTGTTAAACGTCTAAAACCTTCAAAGAACAGCTGGATTCATACTCAGATTAAATTACACAGCAGATTACTTTACTAATAATGTGACTTTCAAAGGTAATTGGTTACATTAGATATTTAGTTGAATACACTTTTCTGAATTTTGTTAGTGAAAAAGCTTGAAAATTACAGATCATTTTCTTTTCACTTCACAGTTATGAACTTCTTTGTGATAAAATATTTTAAAAAATCCAAAGAAAATACTGTGAAGTTCTGATTCTTATTGTGCGCAATGGTAAATGTAAAGTTACTACAAAAACAGGTACACATTTTAAATGAAAAGTTCTTATTTCCTTACTTCTTTCAGTCACAGCAAGAAAAAAAGTGTGACAAATTGAGACTTTCAAGTGTTAAAAAAGCGGTTAGTGAAAGCTGTCGAATCTGAAACCTCAGAGCATTTTATTGTAGCTGGTGTTGAGTCACACAGGCAGAAATAAAACTCTATGGTTTGAGTTTATAAAAAGACAAAAGCAAAGTAGAAGCGTTTGTTGTCCATCACAGCCCGGATGGCAGATCTAACATTAACTCAACTTCTTTTTCATCTTTTTTTTTTTTTTTTTTTCCTTTGTTTTCTAGGTAAGCATGGGCCCCTTCACTGAACACTTGTTGCAACATCGAGGGAGGAGGAAGCTGCTGTGGTTTGGTTGCTGCAGAAACCAGGTGAGAGCATGTGTTGTGTGTGTGCTCTGGCAATGACATCATACCTTCCATGACGTCGGCAAAGAGGAGAGGGGGCGAATGAGGCACCTCGATGTTCTATTGATCCTCTTTGAGCCAGTAAAAACTGAGAGGAAAAACATGTAAAAGTAAAACCCTGCTGATCTTTATATCATCTGTTTCTTACCAACAGTCTGGCAACAATGACACACTCCACTTCGCATGATGTGTTGTAATTACGGCTAGCGATGTAACACAAACAAGTTTTTAACTCATTAAAATAGTGAAATATGCAGTATTAATGTAGCTGTTTGTTAAGTTGCTTTGACATTTTATGTGTTTTTCAAATTTTTTCAATATGTTCCATTTCTTTTCCTTTAACATGTTTAAAGGATAATGATAATTTATTTCACCTTGGAAGGTTTTCTGCTTTATCTCCCATGTTGTTATAATGAACCAATTAAACATGAAATAAATACCAATAGTTGTTTAGATGCACAAAAAGCTTTGCATGGTCTCCAAAGGTTGCTGCTGGCTAATCGTTTAACTAATGCTCTTCTGCACGGTATAATGCAAAATTATTTATATTCATATTTATATACCAGAATGCTCTTTTTCTAATGCTTTGTGTGATCCATCTATAACAATAAAACGAGTTGTAGCAAAACGTCTGAGAGATTTGTAAAGTGGGAGGTGTTCCAGCTATACTTGAGTTGATTTGCTTTGATTGCTGTTGTTACAAATACCAGGAATGTGCGCAAATATGCAAATTAGATGATGATGTCATCCAGCTACGGTTAGGACAACCAATAGCTGCTTTCCTTGCAGAGGAGTTGGCAACGGTGATACAATATTCTCATTGTGTGAAGTTATTCTTACCACTTGTAAGCAAACATTTAAACTTTAATGTTTATTTTTGGCCTCTATAGTCAGATTCATTTGTTAGCACCACTATGAAAAACGTACAGCATCTTTTGTTGCTACTTGATATTAACGTTGAGTTAAGTTCAATGTAAACTAAACTTCTTTTCTTTTTTTTTTAGTTGGGTGAAATACAATAGTATAGGTAAATTATGGTGGCATTCTAGTAAATTTTTAGATAGAAAAAATAAGAGAAAATTTCCACCAGAAAACTGAAGAAATTTAGTTAAAAAAAAATAAATAAAATAAATAAAAATAAATAAATAAATTATGGATATTTCTGAATTTGAAAATTAAAAGAAAATTCCTTTTGAAACTCAGAAATGTCTTTTTGTTTTTGGTCTAGAAAATTTTGGATATTAATCTCAAAATTCCTGAGGTTTTATTTTATTTATTTATTTATTTTTATTATTTTTTTATTTTTTTGCCAATTTTCGACTTTTCAAGCTCAGAAATGTTCATGTTTATTTTTTTTCTAGAAAACATTTAAGATTAATCTCACAATTTCTGAGTTTTTTTTATTCACTTACGTCGTGGTAAACCGATATTTTTTATTTAATTTATTGTTATTTTATCTCCCTCCCTCATCTTGTTGAACAGAAACACAGACTTGATTCGTTCTTTCTCACCTGACGTCAGAAAAATAATTCCCAGTTTGTGGTTTGTAGTTGTGATGTCTGCAGATTGGTCAGACTGGAAAGTCTATTACAGACTGCTATTGGGGTAAAGCTCTAACTCTCAGCAGGTTTCACGAAGGATGAACCTGTTAAGCTGCTTTTCACTGGGCTAACAAAACAGCAATATGTCCTGTGATGAGCTGATGAAATGAGTGGTCAATGGATCTACAGGGAGGCTTTGATGCTCTAATCTCACTACATTAGAGCAGCAGAATAGAAAAGAAATAAATGACAACAAATTGTATGAAAAGGAAGAATGCATCTCTTATGGAAACTGCGAAACTGTGACTTATTATTCAATTAACACAACATATTGTGTTAATTGAACGAGGTGACTAAGAACCCTTTAAATTTGTCGTCGCACCTTATTTCCATTTATTCAAAAGCAGAGCGTCATCAAAAAAGACTCCCCAACGCCCCCCCCCCCCACTCTGTAGTCCGAAATAATCCTCATCTGCTGGTCTTGGCCCAGAATATATAGATGGGGGTGGGGGACAGGTTTCCCCTCAGAGTTACCTCCTAATCTCCCCCCAGCCACAGGTTCGCTCCAGCTTCACGGCTCTTATCTTTTTCCTCTGGTTCTCTCCTGCCCCCTAAAGCACAAAAGGCAGAATAAGCCTGCACTGGTCACTCCTGCTGAATCACTGATTTAATAAAGCGTTTCTCTCTAATGTAGGTGGAAAACGCCTTGCACAGCTTCATGTAGATTCTTTCCTAATGGATTAAGTATGCTTCATAGGGAATTTTCACAGCAGAATGAATTGTTTGACGGTAATCTTTGCTATTGTTGCATAAGTTGCACGAAATGATAAAAAAGAGGGAGAAGCGGTGCTTGGCGAATACTCCTACATCGTTGCTTCTTTGAACCTCCTCGATTCACATGCATTCCTCTCGCAATGGGAGCTGTCACTTTGTGTGGAAATTGTGCCTTCAGTGTGTGTGTGGCTATAAGGGAGCGTCTGATGTCCACTTATCTATGATGTGAATAGGAAGACAATGAGACCCCCAGTGGCTCCCTCTCTCTGTGACCCGCCCGGGGTCTGATTCGCCTTGGCAAGGGGGACGGAGGCCCAAAACAAAGCTGAAGGAGCCTCCAGTGAAGGGGGTTCAGAGGTCAGACCCAACACCCAACTAGCATGGCCCGTTCTCCAGTTTGGGCTCCTAAATGGGGAAGAGACACAGAGGCGCAGAGACAAAGGGATAAAAGGAACCTCCAAAACCATTAAATTCTGAGGAAGTGATGGCCGTGAATGATGACAGAGACTGAATAGAGACTCTTGAGGTGGGAGGTACGCTCCATTAATGACCATAGATGCTCCATTATGGCGACCCTGGGAGGTGGTGATGAGGTGGTACATTTTTTCCCATTAGGCTTCTCCGCTCCGAACGGGGAGACAATCCCAGATTGATCCGGGAGTCCCGGTCGACACCCGCTGCGAACTTCGACACGGGAGGGCAACATGAAAACACGCGGGCCCCCCCTTTAAAACCAGGACGAGTCAAATTACTGTTTGTGTAACGCCAATCCCTTTTACAGCGTCCCTCAAGGGACAATTTGATTGATGCACTTTCTCTTTCACAAAGAGTATCCGAGTAGGATGTGGTCATATAGTCAGTGGATATGATTGTGGTTGGGAGAAGTTCAACCTTCTCAAACTTTTCTAAAGGCTCAAAGGAATCTAATGATGTCCTGTTCATCACTCTGTGTCAACATTGTTACAAGCAACAAGCTATTGAAGCAACTTTGAACTTAACATGCTGCACATTAACGGAAGCATAAACTAATCCCCCCTTTGCAGAAAAAGTATGTAAGTGTCTACATTAAGATTATATCACCAGCATATGTCGCCCTGCTATCCTGGCATTAAGTCCATGTTCAGTCCCTCCTGCAGGAACATATTTATTGTTTAAGGGATGCGTCTGCAGCCATAGGTTTAAGCGCAAAACACATGTCAGATTAACAATAAATACTGAAAATAACCTGGCCTTTATTAAAAATATAATTTTCTTTAATTGCTAAATCACAAATTAGCTGTAATTAACATCATGTTGTGGTTTAATTTCTACATCCAAGCCAAAGCCTGATTACTGCCTAACTTTTAGAGTCAATTAAATCACCTGTGTTTCAACATGAAGTAGGTTACAATATCTCAAAAAACAGAAGTTTACGGAAGGATCAGAAAAGAAACTAAATGACATCTGTCAGTCTGGAAATGGTTTAAAACTATTTCTATGGCTGAAAAACAATAAGAAATATTTATGGCACGATGATGAACCTTTAAAGCGGTTACCTCAAGGGAACATAACTCATTTAGGAGGAAACAAATACAGTTTATTTGCTGGGTGATTATTCAGTTTTTGCAGATTTTCTTCCATGGATTGTGATTCCTACAGTTTCTAAAAGTAGTCAGACTTCTGACCCATGGAACCACCTCCAAGTTTTAGTTAGTGAAATTAAAATTATCCTTATATAGATGATGCACTTGACCCTGTCTAGACTTTTTCTGCAACCAAATGCATGTATATGTACGTTTATACGTGGCTTTACGTAAATAAAGCCACTACAGGAGCTACTGTCACTAAACTTTTACCTTTTTTTTAAACAAAGAAAGTACTTCAAGATCTGTGCTTCTGTTTTATTTATATCTGCAGTGTCTTCTCAAAGACAGATGAGCATTCACAATGAACCAGGTTCTGGTTCTGCTGGAGGTTTCTTCTTGTTAAAGGGGAGTTTTTTTTCTCTCCACTCTCGCTACATGAGTGCTCAGTATGAGAGATTGCTGCAAAGTGAACAAGACAATCCAAGCTATTATCTACCGTTGCTATATGCGCTGTAAGTCAATAACTTGATGCAATCTGCTGGGTTTCTTTTTTCTTTAAACCATTTTTAATAATAAACTGAACTTGACTGAATTGTTTGATAACTAGGATCAATTGCAATGGATGATTGGACTGAATTCAGTTTTTTTATTATAAAGTGAGACAAGGTGTTGTTAAATTGGCGCTACATAAATAAGTTGAATTGAATTGAATTGAATTAAAACATAACTTGCACTTCCTGGATATTCCTGGAGTTCCTTTAGTGATGCATTCCTGGAGGTTTTCCACCTCAAAAATGCAAATGAGCAAATGTCAGGCAAATCCCGCTGGTCCGGCTGAGTGTAATTTATGGCAGGGGCGAACTTAAAAAGGCCAAATACTAAAGCATCCTCTTAACCTGCTGCACACAGGTTTCTGAACCTTTTCCCACTTTTAACAAATGTTTGTGTTTAAGTTGATTTGCTGAATGAACTACATCGCAGAAACATGTTGCGTCGAGAGCCAGTGTGTATGTACATAAACACAAACTAAGCTGACTACATCATATATATTTTACTCTTCAAAGTGTTTACAAAAGCTTTAAATTCACACAAGCATGTCTAGACTGTAATTATGTGGCCACAAATAGCTTAATTTAAGGAAGCCAGCCAGATGTTTTACTGTAAAATCCACTGAAAGTAACACTTTACATGTGTCTGTGAATATCCAGCGCTGTCGAGACGGCTTCGCTAGCAGAAAACGCACCAGTTCATCCAAAAATAGACATTCCTCACTGTGAGGAACTGCTTCCAGGATGATATTCTGTAAAGGTTCTCCACAGTCACATGTGGGTCGAGTCACGGGTAGCAAACATTGAACTGCGATAAGGACCGTGACCGGCACAACATATTTAGAACAAAAGCGGGTTTATGCACAGATCCCAGTCAGCAATCGGCCTCTTCATGCATGTCAGAGCCACTTCTGCACTCCTCCTCCTTCCCTCATGAGTGCACTTTCCAGAAAAAAAAAAGGTGCACTACAAACTGAAGTGCACTCACAACATCTTACATCTTAAGTGCTTTGCATGTTGTTGTTTCTTTCTGCTCAGAAATACGATTCTGTGATACCGTGAGCGTTCCCAAGGAGAGGAACCGAGTGTCTTTGTCTTGCAGCAGAAGGAGAGGAAGGTTCTAGTCCATCCTTTGGCATGAGGATTTATCTGATCAAAGCAACCTGGCTAAACCTTTCACCAAGGGAGAGTCGGCAGCTT